ACTTAATAAGCTTTCATATAAAAATTCATAGAAGGGTACTGTGATAGCTAAACCGACCACATGTTCCTGGTTTCCCACTTCACATGGTTTCCCAGTGCCCTAGGAACTTTTTCAGGACACTGAAAATTCCTGAGTTTCCATTTAATCAAAATATTTAGGTGGGGAGGGGGGGATTGAAGAGGGGTTTGTTCGTTTTTAACAGCTACAAAATTCTTGTTCAAAACATATTGCTATACAGAGGAAGAGCCACCAAGTCTACAAAAGTCACCCAACGACAGTGCTAATCTCTTCTGCTCACTCAAGGAACACAAGAATGGGTAGTTTTATTTTTTGTAGAACAGACTCCTTCCACAAAGGACAATTTACTGCAGAAAAAATTCATCACTGATTGGTGCATCTCTGCCCTTTCAGTGCTGCTTGTATTTAAACAAAAGACATAGCAAGGATTGCACTGCAAGAAAGCTAATTCAAGGAAGGACAATGCAACCAGAAAACCCATTCTCTACAGACCACTCCAGCAAGCATAAGAAAAATAAGTCTTCTTTCTAAAGAGTTCTATACTGAACTAACTAATCCTGATCATAAAAAAGGTTGGAAGAGTGGGGGTTGGGATTTTTTGGCGCTTTTTTAGGGGAGGGTATGGGGAACACACAAGGTAATTAAAAAAGGAATCACCTCAAGAATAGGTTTCAGAGTAACAGCCGTGTTAGTCTGTATTCGCAAAAAGAAAAGGAGTACTTGTGGCACCTAACTTGTGATTAGTCTCTAAGGTGCCACAAGTACACCTCAAGAATAGACACTTAGAAAAAAATAAAGTTTAAATTCTGCCATAGTCGAATTAATTCATATGGAAGTTTTCTACTCACCAAACATAAGTGGATTTTTCAAACCTGAAAGAACACTCAAGTACTTAAAGGCAGGGGACCTACCTATCTTGTGATTTTGCATCAACAGCTTGCTACAGACTTGTATTTCACATTATAGTCTTACAGGTTTGATTGTGAGGAAAACCTTCCAAACATGAACCAAGGGTAAAAGAATGCAGTGTTCTCTGCCTGAGACTGCAAACTGGCCCCAAGTTACTCCAGCAGTAGCTGGCCAGGAGAAACCTGAGCAGCTGGCCCCAGGCAGCCCTGGAGTTAGCCACACCAGTCACTGGAAGTCATGGAAAGTCACAGAATCCATGACTTCCAGGACCACCATGAGAGAATAGCAGCCTTAATAACAGTGCAAGTCAAAACCTAAAGATTACATTTAAACTGTCATTAATTTCCTATTTTTTGAATCACAATATGCTATAGCTGTCTTCATTCATTTTCAGATCTTGAAACTGATATCATGCATATCATTTTTAATTTTTATTTGAACATTTAAGATCATTACAATTGGATGGTTCGTATTTCCAGTGGCAGCTCCATGAAGATACCACCAAAACAAAACATACATACATTCCACACTGTTAACAAAATGACATTTTAGTTACTAGAATTACAACTGCTGTTTTTGCTTACAGATGACACAAAGTATTGTTACTGGGGTATTTCTGTTAACAGTCAGTATCAGGTTACTACTACATCTATTTAATTTTAATAGAAATGAAATGGATACCTGTACATAAGGATAATGTACACTGAGGTATTTATTTAGCGCTGAGACTGTATTTTGGCAAAACTTTCAATGCACTTTGAGATCTTATGGATTGGAACAGGTTTAATATTTAGCAGTTATGCATTATATAAATACTGATGATCAAACTTGTACAAACTTCTTTTGTACATCTCTCTTCTTACTGGTTCATATTTAACTGGAATATATGAAGAAGTCAATACTATGTAACATCTTTCTCTTGTGCACTTTAATTTCACAAGTACGCTTATAACCAATTTTTATTTCATTTGCAAGTCAATTATCCAAATTTTAGATGTGACATCCAATCCTTCCAAACAATTTGTTTTTAAAACCAGAACGATATAGCAGTGGGTAACAGTCATATGATATAAATTCATGCAGTTTAAATACTTCTTGTAATTCTTGATGCAGAAGTCTTAAAGTAGAACACTTATTCACAATTGTTAAATAAATACCTCCACATCAGCCATTCAGCACTCCAGCTTTCTTCATGCTCTGAAACATTCTATTTTGCAGCACATGTTGAGTTAAATCATGAAATTGACTGGCTGATGAGAGAATTACTTCTTATATTTGAAGAAGCATTTTATTGCTGTAGATGGGTTGGGGAATGGAAGGCTCTGAAGTAAAATACACAAAGCTTTATGCAAATATTTCAGTAGGAAATACGGCTGGTAGGTTAAAAAATTTTTTTGTAATGTAGTAAGTTAAGTAAAATGAATCTGTACCAAACTATTGATGTTAAAGTAAAAAATGCCAACAAAACCAAGGACTAAGTAAAATCAAACAGCTCCAGTGAATTCAAATCATCCCTGCTAAAACTAATTTGTCTGTAAAAAGAGCCAATACTCCTTGGTTTAAAAAAAACAAAAAAGTTTCTTCCATAAGTCTCTGCCAGCATTGTTTCCGTAATAAAACTAACACCGACCATATTAAGCCTTCTCATTCATTCCCAACACCAGAGAACTGATCCCACCCCTTACCCCACACACGTTTGTTATATTGCACCCTAACCAACAGTTACCATGCAAGAACCTCAAGGTCCAGTGCTGTGACAATCATTAATCTGTCTAAGGAGAAATGACATTGCTCCCTCCGTTGTTACAATTATGTTCTTCAAAACAACCAGATGAAACAATTGAGGTAAGGCAGGTGAAGTCTGAAGTTACAAAGTTGCTGATTTAATGGTGAGATTTCTAGTTAGATTTTGCATATGATATAAATATTGCAACAGTAGGCAAAAAACTCTTCCAAAGATAGAATAATTTACATTAACAAGAACAATAGAGATCTGTAAGCAATTCTTTTCCTTCACGTCTCTGTGGAATTTTGGCAGGTACCTATTCACTATTCTTTCTGATGCAGTTACATTGCAAGCAACAGGGAATTATTCAAAAAGGACAGTGGAGCTAAAGATGAGATTGCTGTCCTCAGATATGTCTCGTCCTCCCCTCCACCCCACAATCAGCACTTTAAGAACTCAAAGTTCCTCAAAGTGACAAGGGACTAAATGACCTCTTTGATTAGTTGCATTTGAAATCATTCACTGATAACTGGGTTAAGGGGCAAATGAGGAAAATATGTTACTGCATATGTAAATTAACAGTATATGTTTAATTATATCCCTTTTCCCTCACGCTTCATTGTATCATGTGTACTAGATTATAAATTCTTCAGGGCAGGGATGGTCAGTGTGTACAACGCTAACAAAACATGGCCTCTGCGCATCTGCAATATCAAATTTCTCATGACCTAGACGGCAAACAATATTAAGATATTCTGAAATTAAATGAATAGCAAAAACTAGTTATCTAAACGAGCTTAAAAATACAATAGTTTAACATTAAATGGGAAAAATACAGCAGATTCAGTACTTGTACATTCAGTGATATACAGTCCCCAAACTGCAATTTTCATAACGTCGCTATCTTCTTCCTTGGATTAAAGCAATTTGAAAAATCAGATACACATACATGCACTGCCCCCAACAAAATTTCTGCAATGTAGTGTTAATTCATCCACTAACTCATCTCACACCTCATTTTTATTGTTAACTTGTAATAAGATACTTTTAAGCTTTCCCTTTCAATATTCTGAAGTCATCTATGAAAATTCCCTTCAGTTATGTTGCATCTACTCTACCTCACCTCCTCCTGAAAAGAAGGATCACTCTACTTCAGTTCAGGATCCTGATAGCCAAGTGATAGCCAGCACCAAACAAGCTCTTCCTAAAAGGCTAAAACAACTGTGTACGTTTAAGACACACAAACATGTGGCCCGATCAAGCACTATGAACAGAGCAGAACTGTTTTAGCCCAGATTGAAACCTTGGCTAGGCCAGTTTTAACCCTGCTTGGTTCAATCTACAACAACTGTATTACAGCCTAGTTTTAGCCATGCTTAAGCGGGATTGTTGAGCATGTCTAAAAGCTCTATCACGGCAGGGTAAGGGTTCTTGCCACTTAGAATTATCCCTGGATATCAGACAGTATGTTCAAAAGCTATTTTAATCTAATGGAAAGCTTGAAAAGAGTAAATAAGTAAGGTTATTAGTTCATCTGTTTAAGCTGGGACCTTTGAAATACAATCTTCATAAACCCTATTCTGAGGTAAAAATCTTACCATAATATACATGTATGTATACCATACTAAAATTCTAGTGTCTAAGAACAAAGCTAATTATCTTTTCTAAGTCAAATGATCTGCAGAAAAACGAAAAGGAAGAATGTTGTTTGTGTCCAAGTGTTATTGTGGGATAATCACATACGCTTGTTTAGTGTAATACTTCATGCAAGCAATGCCAAAAAACCTATGTACTTATCTACATAAGAATAATGCGGTGAATTTTCAAAGACAGCATTTAAGATTATTTACAAAAACTAATTCAATTCTTCATTATTTGGACTCGAGTTGAAATCTCCAATGTAAAAATTATGAATATTTGCAATAAAGGCAAGGTTTTTTTAATGTCTCCTGATTAACAGTTAATATGAACATGTTTTAACTGAACCCAAAATTAAAAGGAGACTAAAAATGGTTAACTGGAAGGCCACAAACAGCTATGCATTATTAGTATTACTGGACTGGTTTTTATTTTACACTGTGTTGAAAGCAAATCATTCCTTTTTAATAAAGCATACACAAATAGCCTCACTTAGAATACACTTTTAATGCACATAAAAAAAAAGTATTCATCTTACAAATTGTTTTGCAATCCAAATATACAATAGCTTGGAAAACAAGTATTTTAGAAAACAAAAGCCAATGTGTAAAAAGACTGCTTAAAACAACTAAAACAGTAAAAGTTTCTGTATGGCTGTTTTTACAGTTTTCTTACTGCATCATCAATATCGGAAATCTGTTCCTTCAGCTGGCTCCACTGTTCTGGATTTAAAGAAATACCTGAAATGCATTAAACACAAATCCTTAGTGCAGTATGAAAACTAAGATGAAGATTTTGTACAACTGTAACAATCTTTGAACCAAAACAACGTTACTATGAGATCAATATTTTCATAACTGTAAAAGTGTTAGCTGTAGTGAGTGTTAGATATTTTAGTTAATGTAATTATTCATTTATGACTATTCACTGGAATATTTATATTTAACTTCAGGCTAAACAATAGGTTAGACTGCTTATGGATTCTGTTTGGATGTGGGAAGAAGATACAAACGGTAGTGCAGCATCTTTGTAGAAACCCATCCCATGTGTTATGTGAATGTAGCAGTGGCTCTGATGGCAGGCTGCACTAGAATTCTGGATGAGCTGGAGAGGCCCAGGCTTCTTTCTTTAGTGTGATAAAAGCCATGTGTTTGTGGATTGAGTTTGCACACACACGTTCTTAGATTCACAGATTCCACGGCCAGACAGGACTATAGTGATCAACTAGCCTGACATCCTGTACAACAGGGCCCAGTGAACTTTTGCAAAATTCCTAGAGCATAGATGTTTTCTAAAAAGCTAATTTTGATTTCAAAATTGTCAGTGATTGAGAAACCACTATGACCATTGATAAACTGTTCCAATGGTTAATTATCTCCACTGTTAAAAATTTGAGACTTATCTCCAGTCTGAAATTGGCTAGCTTCAACCTCTAGCCACTAGATTGTGTTACACTCTTCTCTGCTAGACTGATGAGCCAATTATTAAATACTTGCTCCCCATTCCTTAAAGTCACCCTTTAATCTTCTTTGTTAAAACTAAATTCTGTACGTTAAGCATGTAAACCTTTTTGAAGCAGCATCAAAAGCACTTTGCTGCACCCTGTCTGGTTACAGAATTGATCACCATTCTTCTCTCCCACCACACAAAATAGTACGACATTTATCTATATCTTCTCATGCACCAATCTTACTCATGCCTCTATGCACGTTCCTTAAACTTTTAACCCATTGTTTATTTAAGGATTTAATTAATTGTGTCTCCATTCATTCAAAGAGCAATCTAGACACACTTTAGTAAAACACCTGTAACAGGACCCAAGGAAAACAGGATCAGGACTTTTTTGGTACCGAATATTTTTATTATTTGAGAATATTAAAACATAAGTACGGCTGTTGTCAACCACCTGTGAACTTTAATCTAGAGGGGAAAAAAAACTTTTCCTACATTCTTTCATGTTTTGGACACCAGCTAGTCTGAACATGCTGTCACATAGTTTTATCAAGTTTTCAGAGAAGACAGGTTTGTTTTTTCAAGAAAATCTTGACCACTTTACTGAAATTGAATATTTAATTTTGCACTGGAAAAAATACCATCACAAACAGCATTAAGCCCTTTCAGTCAGAAAATATACAAATTGATTTCTGAAGCTGTCTCAAAAGTCTTACCATAGTCACCAGCTTCATTTCTAGATGAACAAACCAACAAAAAAATCAAATATTCTAATCTAGCATGGTTTTCAAAGTGTGCTGATTTCAGTCAAAGCAATTTAAAGACAATACTCATTTTAAGATTAGATTTTAGATTAGTTTCCAAAAGGAAACATCACACGGTTGATAACAGAGAAGACAGTCATCTATTGATGTAGGGTTAGTGTTGGCCACATTGCCTAAATATCACTTACCTAAAAAAATTACGTCTACACTACACCCTATATCAACAAAACTTACACCACTCCGGGGTGTGAATATTACATCCCCGATCGGCGTAAATTACACCAACATAAGCATTCACATGCACAGCGCTTTGTTGGCGGAAGAACATCTCCCGCCAACACAATTTATGCCGCTCCTGGAGGTGGGTTTTTATGGGGACAGGAAAGCTTTCTCCCATTGGCACAGAGCATCTTCACCAGAGGCGCTGCAGCTGTATTGGTACAACTGCATCGCTGTAGCGCTATACATATAGACATGGCCTTAATAACATACGTGGCTTGTTCAAGCAGCAACTTACTTTACCAAACAAACTTCTTCAGAGAGTTTATGGTAGTCAAATTTAGTGACTTACATTTCTGATTTAGTCAACATTTGTTTAGTCATGTTGGATTTACAAAGGGGCTTATGGAGGTAGACACTTAATTCCCACAGAATTTCAATGGGATGTGTATGTTTAAGTCATTAGGCTCCACTGAAAATCCTTGCACGAAACTACAGTACAAGTAAATTTTGTTGGGATTACACCAAAACCAACATGTTGGAATGTTACTGCTTGGGCTCTGCTTTCCCAACTGCTGAAGTAACAAAACCTCAATTGAAACCAAGCTCTAGTGTGATATGTACTAAATCACAAGTAGGTAATGGCAAAACGAGGTTTTTTTTTCAGTTTTAGTAAACTGACTAAATAAATGAGAGAAACTGCACTGAGAAATTTTCTAGAATACAGTGTCTTCATCTGCCACCTGGATTAATTGTTCAAGATAGATTTCCTACTTCCTTTACACACTATCAGTTTCTGAAATTAGAACAAACTAGTCAAGATTTAGATAATGTTGTTTGTACACCTGCAGTAGCTTCAACCCCAGGGGGGAAAAAAAGTTATTTTCTGAGCTCTACATCTCTGTGAAACTGCCAAGAAATTTCCACCAGTCCATGGGTTTAACTTCACTGAGTTCAGCAGCAAAAACATTTTTGGGTGGTTCTCTTCCAGCTCTGAAAATGTATTATAATGTACATGTCATAGCAGCATTCATTTCATTTTTACTTTTAACATCTATATGGTACTTTAGATTGAGAATACAGGTAAGAAAGTTAGATCAAGGAAGTGCTTTACATATCTACAATTTAACTCTGTTTTTGGGGTACCACTGACATTTTTCCTGCTCCTTGTCCAAGCTTGAACCATCTCAAACTCTTCGTAAAAAATTGTAAGAAAGATTAGCTGCATATATGACCCAAGCAATCTTCAACTATGAACTCTTCATTGAGAATACCAGTATTGACTACAAAGTAGTCCATGGTTGTTTTGGATTATGAAAATGGATATTTCTTTGACTGCACCAAACAAGCGTTTTAACAAGTTTAGTTGTACTGCTGCTGCCAGATGCATCTGATAGTGGTAATGATGAAGCTAACAACAATGCAGAAAGTGGTCATTCATCTCACCTGTATAATTCTAAAATTAACTGCCTGAAAACTTCGTTGACCCATAGATAATGTTGCACAGTGCTGCCTCGTGCCCTTCCAGAATGTGGAGAGTGGCTAAACTTAAACCTCTGAAAACCAGGAAATACAAAGTTAAGGTTGTGTTGCAGGGATGGTGTGTACCTTAACTCTGTCCCTCTCCAGATGGCAACAGACACTAGGAATGGCTCAGTAAAAATGGTGCCATAAGAAGACATGAGGAAGGACTATGAGAAAGTGACACTGTTTGCGTTGTGTTACAGATCTGAACTGCACCACCACTATAAAAAAAAATAAATTGAAATAGCCATTGCATTCCAAACTCCTATTTCCATGTCAACTAAAATTTTGGAATTAAATTTCTCATGCCTAGTCCCAACCTAAGAGGGTTAACAGAAGATGATAGTTTATCTGTACTCAGATAATTCAAAGCAGTTAGTTTTTAAAACTTCAAACTTTCAATGGATTTAGTCTGTATTGAGGATTAATACATTGGACATTTCAAGAAATTTAGTTAAAAAAACTGAAAAATTACATATTGTGTTTTGCTCAAATGATGTTTATACCAGCAGTATAGTAGTTCAACCTGCTTGTGGTTGGTGTTTTACTCCGTTGCCTAAACTAGTTCATACAGAATGTCTGGGTCAAGTTCAAAACTCAGCAGTACAAGGCAGTCAAATCAAAATGGAGATGTCCAGGTATCCATAATATTATGATGCCCTACTGCACTGCCACCTTTGATATTCTCTCATGGTCCAGTCCCACGCCCACTGTAGTCAATGGGAGTCTTTCCCTAAACATGAACGGACACTGAATGGTGCCTTGAATGACAAACTTCTCAACCTCAAAACACTTAAAATTCTCATTCAGATGAAACGAAACTTCTCTGCTTCTTGTTATAACCCCCACAGGAAAATAACCCAGCAATATTTAACTTTGTTTTTAAATATTTTTCTAAAATGTAATAAAAACGCTAACATTACTCACCAAAAGATCCAGAATATTCAGACTGACAGAGAAACAGTATCTTCAATGTCATCCTTGGCATGGGTAGCACACTTTTCAAAATGTTGTTTCATTCCTGCTACCAAGCCCTGCATTGTCTTTGTTACGCTTATACAGCATGTGATCCTTTCTTAATACTTCCAAATGATACAGGAATCTCTTCAAAAATATTCCCATATGGGACTTTTGCATCTTGGAGACATGGTAGGTTCCCCCAAAAAATGTTTAGTACTATAACTTACTGGTATAACACTGTAAAAATTAAACAAAATTTTTCTGCAAAATTTGTATCAAAGCAGTTGTGTTTCCACTGAACCCTGTTCAGCTCCAAAACTGTAATAGGTTATCATGCAGTTTATTATCTCATGCAATGGTAACTTAAAACTATCTGGGGGAAATAAGAAGTGCTAAAATATTAGAGAAAAATGCAACAGTTATTCAGTAGTCCAGGCTACAGAATTTTTTAATACTTTTCCCATCTATTGTTTCTAAAGAGAAAATGCAGTCTTGTTTTGATGAATGCTATTTAGACATGGTGCCTAACTTCAATCCACTGCAACACAAACTTTTTTCAATTATAAAAATTTAAAGCACAACTTTCAGGCAGATAAAGCAAATTTAAACCTGAATTTACAACTAATTTGTTTAAAAATTGTCTTTTTATTTTTAAGTTATGGGGTTTTATACCCCGTTCTAAAACTGTGGACCATATCCTCTTTGCCAAGGAACCAAAACAGACTTTTAGGAGTGGGAGAAGAGAAGGAAAAGGACCAGAACTGTGGCATGTGCCTAGATTTCCCCCCCAATATTAAGGCTTTCCCATTAAAATATTTTAGAGTTACTTAGAAGATGTCTTATTGGGTAAGAAGAAAGTATAATCAAGACATTAAAATTTTGCATTAGAATCAAGAATGGACATATAGACAAAGGTCTCAGCCTCATTATTGAACTGTGAAGCAAATGAATCTGATACTTACAGAATTCTTCAAGTTAGATGATTTTCCACTTTCCTCAATAAAGCTAAGCTAAATATATTTTAATGCTATGCAACTAATGACACAAAATAGAAGTTCACCTTTTCTGCCAGGTTTCATTTCACCTTCTTGATCCATCCAGTATTCTCTAATATCAATTAGGACTTTCCCTTTAAAGTCACGAACACTGACATATCTCATTTTGCCAATCTGCCAATAAAACAAATCAGAACAATTGAATACATTTTACACAGTACTGGATTATTCATTTTTCTAATCAGCATTAAATACTTAGATATGAGACACTGCTTATTGCTGCAGCTTATTTTAGATTTAAGTAGAAATGATTGGATTAAGTATTTTCCTGAAGAAGTATATCAGGACTAATAAGTGATGACAGCATTGATGGATGAAGGACTGAACACGTTTTAAGAGAATTCAGCATTATTTCCTGGAAAAATGGGTGTCCTCAAAAGAAAATTCATTTGTATCTAAAAGCTGAATTCCTAATAAATATTGCCAATTTAAATTACGGATTCTTTCAGAAAAAAATCCTGCTTCCTTGTGCAAACTTTGTTAATGAAGCTAGAAAATGCTAAGAGAAGACAATTCATTCAAATTTGTTTTCAAGCTACAAGACTAATGAAGATGATAACAAAACCATCACCTCCTCCCGTTCTAAATCTGAGTTCTTGTCAATGTTTCCAGAAACAAAGTAAGATCTACACAGGTTAAATAAACAGAAATCCTTGAGGTTATGAATTTTTCCAGTAAATTCAGGTGGTGGAAGCCACAAGCTCCAAACACACACAGATTGATGCTTAGCTCAGGGCTAAATCCCCACAGAACTAGGTTAGAGAATTGGATATCACAACCAAATTAAATCCTAGATGGCACAAGAAAGCAGATTTCACATCTATATATGGCATGCAACTGTCTGGTTTTCTAAGATTAACTGCACCTCACACCACCATTAGAACTTCCAGAAGTCACCCTCTCCACTGTGAAAAACCATTATGAAGCACTGTATTAGTTCCACTGTTTTCAGACACCAAATTACATTAAAGGAAGCTTAAAAGTACAAACACTTTAATATTGTTTTTCCAGGTAAGCAACTGCTTTACTCGCCATAGGAATTTTTAAGTAATCAAGAATGTGAGGGAACAGTGCTTTACCCTAAACATGTAAGAACCCCCTACCTATAGGTGCCAAATTCTGAATTATGTTTCAAGTTTGAAAGCAATGTAAAATAAGTGAAAAACATTCCAAGATGGGAGACTTTCATTCAACATAAAAAGTAAAATATTTTACTGGTTTTCCTATTAATCTTCATATTTAATTGATATGCCACTGACATTCCTAACAGACAAAAGTAAGTCCGAACCAGAATCCCACACTTTGGAAGTGTTCTGATTCAAGTCAGATTCTGGATACATCATAGTGTGCTCTATTTTTAAATACAAGGGAGGCTGAAGATCTAATGCGGAATACTGAAGTTCAAGCCCAACTCTCACTTGCTTTGTCCCCCACCCCAAGCTACTTCCTTTGCCAGCACTAATGCCCTAATTTTAGGCTTCTTTTCAGACCCTTTCACCAAATTCTTCAAAAGTTCCTCCCGCATTCCTTGAATGGAAAAACCCTGTCCCTTTCTTACCGTCTTAAAGCAGGCTCACAGCAGGTATTCTCCTCTCCCCAATCTTTCTTGCAATGAGGAAGAGGAAGCTGGGGCCTTATATTCCTGCTCCTTTCTCAGTACACTGACTGATGCAAGGCTTACAACTCCCAGATATCCTCAGGAACTACAACACCCTGAATGCCTTATTGCAGAAATAGGACAGTATTGAACCCTGGGCCTGTCTTAAAGAGGCCAGCACACTCCGTTGCAAAGACCACTAGCAGTTCTCCATGATGATCTGTTTCAATCTTCTCTGATATTCTGTTAATAAAAACTGAATCCCAGAATAAAGGAGCACATATAAACTCAAGGACAAACTTATCCTTAGACCTGGTCTGGTATGGTGAGAGCTCTGACAGCTGCTCTTTGTCCAGCTGGGTAGGCAGAAGAGAAGTCATACTGATTTCTGGGAACCTCTTGTCAAAGCGCTCTGATTAAAAGTATTCCCATATAGATCAGGTTTTGAATTAACATTTACAGCCTAATTATAATTCTATTAATAGAGTTTAGAACAGAAATGCCTAACTGTCAAAAAAATGACACTATAAACCAAGACAAAATACTGGGAACAAGTGATACAATCAATGAACCAAAGTTAGAATTGAATGGCGTAGCATGGATTATTTTACTCTATCAAATCCTATCTCACTTTCACTCTAACATTGTAACCCTATTTAGCCAAAACATGCCAAGAGATTGAATGCTATGCTATACCTGGATAAGAAACCAAAGTGTTCCAAGATTCTCTTCATAAAGATTACAGAATACAGACTGTAACATGCTTCCCCAGGAACCCTTCAACCAACAGTCTCTAGAAGTAACATTATCAATGTTACCTGGAACATATTCTCATCTCTGTTGCTGCTTTGCTTAGAGGAAGCTGCACCTTTAGAACTTTCACCAGTCTTTTGTTTCTTTACAGGCTTTTCTGGAGCCGCTTGCTTTTTCCTCTTTGCCTTTAACCAAAAATTAAAAAAAAAAAATACAAAGCACATCCCATTTTATTAGTTATTAAAAGAAGAAATCAGAGGCTGCAAAGAACTATTATATTATGTAGTTCATCTCACTACCAATACAAGACTTTAATACAGTGAATTTGGGGTGGGATTTTTAAAAGTGCTCTAAGATGTCCTAATTCTGCTCCTACTGAAGTCAATGATAAAACTCTCATTGGAATCCAAGAGGAACAGATTTAGGAGAACAATAAGCACTTCTGTAAGTTCTACCCTTAATGTTTTACCTTACACTAAAATTGCTCAAAGCAGGGAGACAAAATACTGCTATTTCAAAAAGTGAGTGCATGTGGGATTTTTTAAAGACTATTTTAATCTTTTGGAACCCAAAGAAGATCTAAATAAAACTGAGGTGGACAGTACATTTTCTTTTTATACACACTCACCTTGCATTTTAAATCTCCCCAATTCAAGGGAGAGGGAAGGAGAGAAAGAACGTTCCTCTCTCTCTTTTATTCTGACTTGACCATTTTGTTACTAACTTACATACAGCACTCCAAGATCTTCATGCTTTCACAGCTCTAGTATCTACAGTGAACTACAGAACATACATAACAAAACAATATTGTTTTGTCGTATCTACAGAAAACTCAACCAGCATTTCAAATGCAGAATGCTCACTACAATAATTTTAGCCCAGCATGTATATCAACTCTTGATGGGCTTAAGAAGCTAAACAATCATGTTTCTCAACATCAGCTTTCACAGCTGTTTAGGAGGAAGAGAAATGTTAACAGAGTAAGGGAACTAAAATGGTTTAGTATTCTTGCTCTCACCACAGAGATCTACAGAACTCCAAGAACCTTGTGGTTAAATGCCACAAGCGAAATAGCAAATGATAGAAAGACGATCTTAAAAAAATAGATTCATTCCATATTTAGAAGCATCTCACCTTCCAACCACTGATCCCAGTCTTAATAAAAGAGCTTGTGTTCATTCCAACACAAACACCGTGGCATACATATTCCAGCAAAATTGAATTGCCTCCTAATCCAAGCCAGAATAAGTTTGCTTGGTGTTTTGTTTTTTAATTATTAGACTAAAATGCAGTAAGCAATCGTGTCCAATATTCACCTTTTTGTCAACTTCGCTATCTGAATCACTGCCAGATGAGCTTGAAGACACAAGTTCCTTTGATTTAGGCATTCTGGAGGGAAGAAAGGTATGGTGAAAATATCATACAGGAAACGCTGCCCTTTATGACTGGAATGCATGCCCCAAATTCCTTTGTTAAGCCTCTTCTCTCATCTTATTCAAGTATCTCCTATTTGAAGCCAACATGAAGTGGCAAGAAACTTCAATATATGTCTGTCTGAGCAACAGTGTGATCTCATCATCACCGTAGTCCTTCATCTCCCTTTCCTTTGATCCATTCCCTTCATTTGTGTACTGTCTCACTTATTTTGTAACCTATTCAGGACAAGAACTCAGATCATGTCTACACTTAAAACGCTGCATGAGCAGCAGCTTCACCACAGTAGTGTTTTCATTGAAGCGCTACAACACTGAAGGAAGAGCTTCTCCTTTTAGTGTGGTTAATCCACTTCTGCAAGAGGCAGTAGCCGTGTCAATGGAAGAAGCTGTCCCGTTGACATAGCACTGTCTACACGAGGGATTATTAGGGTAGTGTAACTACACTGCTCAGGGGTCTGGATTTTTCAGACCCTTGAGAGACGTAGTTACACTGATGTAAGTTTATAGCATAGACATGGCCTCAGTTTTTTTACTTGATTTATGGTGCACAAAATAGTATTAAACAGGTCAGTCTAAGTTACTAAGAATTTAATTTATTATCAAAACAAACGAATTAAATGTTTCTACATACATTTAAATAGAAGTTTTCAATGAATATCACAAAACATGTAGGTACACCATTATCTAGCAAATGACTCCCTTCACTCTTATGTACTGTTATTTTGTCTACTTTGATTTCCAGGTCACAGAATGACAACTGCTGGTAATGAGAAATACAGAACCATCATCATAAACTTTTCTACCTATGTTTCAAAAAATTAAAAAAATACGGTGTTGTGGTTAAGCCACATTTAGGTGAGAATATATAAAACACTATTCGCAGTTCTGCCACATATTTCCTAGGTGATCTCAGGCAAATCACTTAAGACCCAATTTTCATTAGTTTGGCATGCATGGAAATCCACATCTTTTTGAAGAGATACTGCCGGATGTGTCTACTCTGCAAACCTATGGATAGATATAGTATGTGAATATCTAGTATTCCATATACAAGAGAGGCACAGGAAGAATTTTAAATAATTGCTTTTAATACCTTTCCAGCCTTTGAAAGAACAAAGCAGAAAAATATGTTATAAAGGGGAACAGTTTGTAAGGAAGGAACTATAGTGAGAGATTGGGGACTTTGTGAACTACTGGTTTATGTCAAGTAAGGGGAGGATAACTCCCAGGGCAATACAATAGTGCAAGGTAATGTGTTAGGATGAAGACAACAATATATGGCATGGGTAGCCAAACTGGCTCATGAGCCGCATGTGGCTCTTTTACAGTTAAAAAATGTGGCTCGCGGAGCCCCCCACTCTCCACCTACCAGACTTGGTGGGGAGCGAGGAGGCTCAGGACCTCTGCCTTGCAGCAGGATGGTGGGGTAGGGGCTTCTATCCAACGGGGAGAGGGGGGGCCTCAGGGCTTCAACCCCATGGGGCAGGCCTTCCCTCGCTTTCGAACTTCTGAAGATTGTCTTCTGTGGCTCAGAGGGTCAATAAGTATGGCCACCCCTGACATATGGAATGAATACATGTGGCGAAAGAACAGTGTCAGGTGAAAAATCAGCCAATATGAGGGAAAATGGAACACAGGTGAGGAGGAGGGAGAATTGGAATGTGCTGGGGGTTACACAAGGAATGAGGGGAAAAAAACGGTCTGCCATGTCATAGGGTTGGAAATGTGTTGAAGAGGAGCAGAACCCACTATGTGGGTGGGAAACAGGATGAAAGACTTGACAGGTTTCAGAGTAACAGCCGTGTTAGTCTGTATTCGCAAAAAGAAAAGGAGTACTTGTGGCACCTTTAGAGACTAACCAATTTATTTGAGCATCCGATGAAGTGAGCTGTAGCTCACGGAAGCTTATGCTCATATAAATTGGTTAGTCTCTAAGGTGCCACAAGTCCTCCTTTTCTTTTTAGGATGAAAGAAGGTAGGCCAGTATGTCTGATACAGCGTGGGCAGGCAATGGTACAGAATGTTTTAAAAGAAGGGAGATATAATAAGGACAGCAAAAGGTGCATGAAGTGAAGGAGGAATGGACACCAAGAATGAGAATGTGGAAAGGTGATAGAGAACTAAGGGGGAATAATATAGGGCATGGGCTAGGATTAGCGAGAGAAAACATGGAGGAACAGGGCAATGGGACCGAACGAGTCACTCAGAGGCAAGGTTATCTAGTACCATGGGATGGAAAGAAGACCATGCGAAGAGACATGGGTCACGAGGTGGGAGTAGATATGGGGCACCCAGAGGAAAATGGGGTGGAAAGGAGTCACTGAAGGGGGAATGGAGGGAGATGAGACTGGACAGGTCACTGAGTACAGAATAGGGGAAACACAGAAGATGAAGGGGGCAGGCGGTTCCCAGCCGCCATTTTCTCCCTCGTTCAGACGCTCCCCTCCCCCAAATGAATAGAAAATGGGGGAAGACAGGCCTGGTTAGGAAAGGGGGACACGACACCGAATCACTGAGTGCGGGCGGGGCGGCTAACTGGGGGCGGCAGTCATGTCATGGGACGGAGGCGGGTCGCGCAGTGGGGGATGGGGGTAGGCGGTTCCCCGCCGCCATTTTCTCCCTCACTCGGATGAGCTTTCTTTGCCCCCCAAACATGGCAGCGTCTCGCGACGCAACGCCCCCCCCCCCCCCACGATGAGCGGGAGAAGGTCTCCCTCCCCCACGGCACTGGGCAGAGCAGGAGCTTGGCGGGAATCCCGCGGGCCGAGCCTTCCCCAGCGTTCGAGACGCGGCGGCGGCGGCTCATCCTCCCGCCGGGTCCGAGCGCGGAGCTGCCAGACCACCCCTCCCCCGGCTCGCACAAGCCCTGAGCTGGGGGCAGAGGGAGATATAAGATGGTGGCGGGCACGCAGCCCCCGGGGGGGGGGGGGGGGAGGAGAGCGATACTCACGTCCCGCTCCCTCTGCGTGCTGCTCTCTTCTCCGAAGCACACTACCACCGCCACTAAGAGAAACGGAAATGTCGCAACCGGCAAGCCCCACCCCCTGACTACGTCATTACGTCCCGCAGCGCCTCACGTAGGGTGCTGCCGAGGCGGGGGTGTTTAAAGAGGAAGGAAGCGTCTCTTTAGTCCAAGCCACGAGGCTCAATGGGTGGCCCTGTGCTTCCCGCCCCGGCGTAGAAGGGAGCCAGCCCACAGAACGGGCGTGGTCCCACCCCCACACACCCCTGCCCCCGTGTGACCTGGGTAGGAAACTGATCCCTAGTCACCCCCTTCAGCTAGGGATTAAGAGCCAGGGAGGGTAACAGACCTCTTGTGCAGGGCCCAGGTCTCGCTCTCCCCTGTACCCTAAATTGAAGGGAGAATGGACACGTCAAGAGCAGGGACTCTGGGGCCCCGCCTCCCCTTTCGCAGCGTGTGCATCTTGGCCCCCATCACAGCTGGGCGACTGTTAGCACCATGCCACTCGGCTGATAATCTCAGCACAGATCTGGGGAGTAAACTAGTTTCACACTCTTCAGCAGTGGTGTTTCCGATCAGTGGCATGGCCATCGCAGAGCGGTAGATTGCAGCTGCATGGCTCTTGGGGCCTTGTCACTTCCTCTTGAGTCTTTGTCCTTGTGTAGGAAGTCTCTAGCTCTTAGAGTTGCAAATACAGTAGAACCTTCCAAAGGTGAACAGATGCAGTGCCATCCTACAGTCAACATCTAAACATGCTGTAGCTCTAAAAGATTCCGCCACTCATCTCAATGGGTGTTAATTATGAATGCTAGTGACAATTTCAGTGCCATTTTAGTGATGAAATAGTGCTGGCTGAGTTTCAGGGGAACATGTATTATAATCAGTTGCAGAGTTGTACCAACTGCCCTGCTAATAGAAGACAACTTTCCAAGTCTGTCACCTTCCACAAGCACTAAATTCACACTATTACTTTATGAAGCTTCGGCTTCAGTCCTGGGTGGCAGGGCTCAGGCTTCAACCCCGTGCGGCAGGGCTTTGGCTTTCTGCCCTGGGCTCCAGCAAGTCTAATGCTGGATCTCAGACCCCTGGTTGAAAACCACTAATTTAGAACCTCCTCTGTACAATAATACAGCATTCACATCATTATGGGTATGTCCACATTGCAGCTGGGAGCAAGGTGCCCAGCCTAAGCAGACAGACTCAAGCTAGCTCCGCTCAAGCTAGCACACTAAAAATAGCAGTGTGGTGTGGCCACTGTAGTTCAGGCTCTCAAGGGTCTGAGTCTCCTTGGAAGTGGTAATGTCCACACTGCTATTTTTAGCATGCTTGCTCATGCCAAGCTAGTGTGAGCAGGCTTACCCAGCTGGAACGCTGGCTTCCAGCTGCAGTGTTAATAGGGGGTAACCATGCAAATAATATGATGTAACGCTAGTACGGCAGTGACTTTGCTATGTACTTGTTAAATGTCAGAGAATGCTCAGTATGAAGAAGGCATTTTCCAGAAACCTGAAGAATCTCATTTGGAGTTCTTCCACTGACCTGCCTCCCAAGTGTTTAGTAAATGTTGCACATAAGGGTCTTTGACACTGCTGGACAATCCACTTCATTTGGTGTCCCATGCCTGCCATACAAGATACTGTACCTGAAAGAGCTAGTTCTCTTCTCTTAACTCTAGTGAAGTTTAATTTCTTGCAAGACTCTGTGGGGAATACATGCACCTTGTCATTTGTATTCGCTAGAAGGTTTCATATCTTCATTGATATCTAGGGCCAGATTAAGGTGTAGGCACTATAGGCCCATGGCTTGAGTCATGTTATTACATAAGAATCTGTTTTTATCTTTTTTTTTTAAGAGAAGTTTCTGGCCTTTCTAGTTGGAAAGAACAGGTTGAAAAGATGACCTGAGTGTATCCAAATCACTGATGTCTGAATAAGTCTACAGAGAGCCTAAGACAACAGCTCTAAGATGGATGTACTACCCCATTTATCTCAATGCGGTATTAACACCAAGACCCACTGCTTTGGAGTGCCCTGCCAACACCACTCCAGCAGGGAACTCTTGGTAGCAAGAGAACAAGAATGCAGCACCCATCCAAGCAGATACACTCCAGCTGCTGAGATAAACAAAGCTCCTGGCAGCTCTCCCAGGGAGAAAAAAGGACCTCAGTGACCCTGTGTTTCTGTGAGGGGAGAAGGAGGCTACCATTTTCAAGTGATGCTTTAAAAGGGCCAATTTCACAAAGCTGGAAACAATTATGAGCTAAATCAGTCCAGAGGAAGAATTTTATCAGAAAAAATATGTATGATAATTGGGAATTGTTTAAGAACATTTTACTAGACGACACAATCAAGGAAAAGGCTGCATTAGTTTAAAAAAAAACTGGTTTAGAAGGGAAGTGAAGGCAGATATAGAAAATAAAAAAAATATAATAAATGGAAGAAGTGGGAAGTTGATAGTCATTAATTTAAATCAGAAGCTAGGAATTTTAGAAAATTTATAAGGTAAACAAAGGCACACATGGCGAAATCTATGGCCAGCAGAGTTAAACACAATAGGAAAGAGTTTTTTAAGCATATTAGGAACTAAAAGAATCCTAACAATGGTATTGGTCCATTCATAGAGGGAAATGATAGAATTATCAATAATAATGCAGAAGAGTTCAATACATATTTCTGTTATGTATTTGGGAAAAAAATCATCAGATGATATGAGTACATCATCTACACTCTTTCCATTCCATCCTCTCAGAAGGATGTTAAACAGCAGCTACTAAAAGTAGTCACTCTTAAGTCAGGTTTCAGAGTAGCAGCTGTGTTAGTCTGTATCCGTAAAAAGAAAAGGAGGACTTGTGGCACCTTAGAGACTAACAAATTTATTATTTATCAGGAGATCCAGATAGCCAGCGCTTTTAAACCCTTGGATGAAAGTTAAAGAGCTAACTGGACCATTAAAGTTTATTTTCAATAAGTCTTGGAACACCAGGAAAATTCCAGAAGATTGGAAGAAAGCTAATATTGCACCATTATTTTAAAAAGGGTAAATGGGATGACCCAGATAATTATAAGCCTGTCAGTCTGACATGGATTGCAGACAAGAAAATGGAACAGCTGATTCAGGACTCAATTATTAAATAATTAAAGGGGAAGGAATATAATTCCATAAATCCATGTTGATGGGCATTAAAGTAGAGCCTGTCAAACTAAATTGAAATATCTTTAGGAGATTCTAAGTTTGATTAAGGTAACAGTGTTGGTGTAATATATCTGAACTTCTGTAAGACTTTTGACTTGGTACATGACATTTTGATTAAAAATTAGAAAGATATAAAATTAACATGGAATATATCAAATGAATTAACAGCTGACTAACTGATAGGTTTTGAAATGTAACTGTAAACAGGGAATGGGTACCTGGAGTCCTGAAGGGTTGGCTCTATGCTATTTAACATTTTTATTAATGACCTGGAAGAAAATATAAAATCATCTCTAATCAGGTTTGCTGATGACACAAAAAGTGGGGGAGGAGTAAATAATGAAAAGGACAGGTAACTGATCCAGAGTGATCTAGACCACTTGGAAACCTGGGCTCAAGCAAAAAGTATGCATTTTGATATGGCTAAATGCATATATCAAGGAACCAAGAATGTAGGACATACTTACTGCTTCCCAGGATAGTCTTGCATTGTGAGAGTCTGAAAAAGACTTGAGGGTTTTGGTGTATAATCATCTGAACATGAGCTTCCCACTGCAATGCTGTGGCCAAAAGAGCAAGCCCAATCTTTGGTGTATAAACAAAAGTATCTTGAGTAGGAGGAGAAGGAGAGAGACAGTTTTACCTCTGTATTTGGCAGTAGGGCAATCATCGCTGGAATAATGTGTCTAGTTCTGGTGTCCTCACTTCAAGAAGGTTGTTGGTACATTGGAGAGGGTTCAGCGAAGAGCTGTGAGAATTATTAAAGGATTAGAAAATTTGTCTTATAGTGACAGATTTAAGGAGCTCGATTTAGATTAACAAACAGAAGGTTAAGGGGTGAGTTGATTACAGTCTAAAAATACCTATGAAGGGAACAAATATTTAACAATGGTCTTGTGATGGGTTCCCCCCAGGATGCCACCTGGAACTGGGGTACCACTGAGCCCTCTGACCCAACAGCCTGGGCTCCCTCTCTTACTGTGCTGCTGTGAGCTGTGACAAGTTGCAGACCTGCTCCCGGTCCTAAACGTCCACCAGTATTCATACAGGTAGGGACAAACCTAGTAGCAGTTACATGTAGGCTCTCTGACCAGCCCCTGCATGAACCAACAAAAGAGAGGCTACAGCCAATGTAACCACCAGCTTCCTAGCCTAGGACCCCAGAGCTGTACCGTCCTGCCCTGGTCCAAACCCCAACCACTATGAATTTATTATGCAGGTCATCTCCCCCTCAATGTGGAAAGGAATATGAAACAGTCTTTGTCCCTTGACCTATGATTTTCCATGCACTTCATTTAAAGTAAAACATAAAACAAGTTTAATAATTACAAAAAGATTTTAAATGATAGCAAGCAAATCAAAGCTGATTACCTTAAACAAAAATACAAACTAAGTCTAAGATAACATATGAATTAACAAATTCTCACCCTGGCTGATGATACAAGCAGCTGTAGATTCTTAAGGGGCAAGCTGCACTTGCTTTACAGCTTGGAATGCCCAGGTTTTTCATACACAGGCTAGAAATCCCGTTAGCCTGGGTTCAGAAGGTGTTCTTTTTCAGACCCTTTACCTAATAAACAAACCCTTATACTAGAATAAAAATGCCTGCATAGTCCTTTATAATTTGCAAGTATTCCAACGTACTTTGCTCTCTTAAAGGGTTAACAGCTTCTATTCCTTAGTCCTAATACAAGAAACTTTTATGGACATTAAACACAAATCAAAATAGAGAATGATAGACACATTCTAAGTTATTTTTATATTTTAAATCAAGGACTTGGGCCCTAAAAGAAATCAAAATAAATAAAGGAGACAAGGATTTTCCCTTATGGTTCTTAATTAGTTAATCCATGCCCCCTGGGCTATTTTCCTAAGCAGGAACCAAATCTGTTCTAGTATCTATAGTTCCAAGCAGCAGA